GTAATAATTTACATTTACACACCTGTCAGAAAAGTGAGAGTATTAGTCCTCTCCCTCTCTGCCCTCAATGTACAGAGAGTGTACTCTCCTCTCTCCTCTGCTCCTGCAGAGTAGAACTGAAGTACAACCAGATTAGACTGGATGATGTCCTTATTCCAAATGTCAATTCAGAGATGCCAAAGACCAGGTATTTTATATAGGTATTGTGTTAGTTCAGCACATTTCTCATACTAAATTGTAGCTGTAAGAATTCAACAGATGTGTAAACTAAACAGAAATGCCTTGGATAAGCCATCTATAAGAATTCAGTTTGACAATTGGATATGAAAATCTTATTTTAGTGATTAACCTAGTATCATCCAGCAATTTGATAGCAAAAACAGTGAATCAGAACTGGCTGATTTAGGGATCAGCTTTCTCTTCCCTAAAGCTTTGGTCAATGTTTCCCTGCTGTCTCATAAAACACAGGATATATAGACTAGGAGAGTCACCTCCAGTACATCTGGTACCGTCTAGGGCAAGATTGCTCTTGAGGGGGGTATTTTAATGACTGTTCACTAAGTATGCTGAAAGAGGCAAAAATGATGACTGAAAAATCTTAAAACTAGCAGCCTCTATCATTTGAGCCCTGATCATGTATCTTGTGAAGTCAAAAATTGCAAGCCAGTGCACCCCAGTGATACACACAGGGTTGAAACATAGAGATCTCTGTTCCTTTGGCCCAAGAAATAACTGAAGGAGAGAAGACAGATGTGCAGAAGGAGGGAGAAAATATACTCTAGGTAGGCCTCTAACTAAATTCTAAATCTTTACCAATTTTGAATATGTTCTAATGGATCATAGTCTTTACTTGTGATTTTTTTAGGGGAAAAAAGATGATGTTTAACATCATCTGCCTTCTTCTCATGCAGACCCCTTATTTATAGCCCCATTTGTCTCATATTACTCACAGCACTAGGGATAGGCTCTGATTTTCATGACTCAGTCCCCTCAGCAGTATTTCTAATGAAACCAGTATCCTTCAAGTTCCCCTGTCTCCCAGCTTTCAGTCCAGCCTCCTATACTCCTCAGATTTTTGGGCTTCACAGCATTCTCAGCAATCCACTGGCCCAGTATCAGCCAGTGTCACTTTATTCTGTCACTCTTCCTTAGTTTCTCCTTATATCTTTTCCCTTCTGAATCCCTTCCTGCCTCTGTAGCCCTTAATCACTGTCAGTAAGAGTTGTCTCATTCACATCATCCCAGCCACCCCGCTCAAATATTGTATGCAGTCTCCATCTCTCACTTCTTCCTGTGAAAGTTGTGTCAAATTACTTAAACTCCACAAGATCTGGTGAAAGGACAAGTCAATCCATTACTGTAATTTGCTAAACTATTAGCACATCTGGACGCATTCACAGTACACAGGGCTGTTCTCAAAGTTGCATTAGAAAGCTGGTCAGAGCAAAAGGGAAACATGCCGGTCTTTTTAGCTTGTTGGAACTTGTGTGGAAACTAAAATTCAAATGTCAGGCTGAAATAAAGAAAATCTGCAGAAATCAAATTCTTGCTGTCACCACAAGGAGATGTACTGCCTGTCACCTATGCCCTGGATGGCCCAATAAAAAAATTATACTGTCATTGCTAGTAAGAAAATTAATGCTAACATTGCAAGGCTACAAGAACTGGTGGGCTGTTAGATTTGTTATTAGTTTGAATTAATTTATTCAGTACAAACTGAAATTGGGTATCAAGTGTCTTTTGTTATGATGTAGAATTTAAGTGTGGAATAATACCAGAGACCTTGAAAATATGTGCACAGGCTAAAAACAGAGGCCACAAGACTATAAACATCTCACTGGCAGTCAGCTTCTGGTTCTAGACGATTATAATCTTAAGTGCTGAGAACACTTCTTTAGACATAACAAGGAGGAAGCAATCAAACAACAAGTGCATGTACTTTATGCACTGTTTATGAATAAGACAAATAGATTATGTGGCCATGGGAAGTTAACACCCCCAGAATTGGAGAATGTATCATCCAAGGAAAAGGAGACCAGAGAATTAAAATTCACTGACAGTCAAGCTTTTTTGAAATGTATTAGATCTTGATATTTGAAAGGAATTGCTGCTTGCAAATGGCTGTCATCGCTGGATTATCATGGAATTTTCTTCCTAAAAACTATATCAAAGGTGCAAGCACATCTGTTTCAAGGACCAAGGCTCTTCAAATATATTTTATCATGCCAGTCAAGTGCTAGGGCTGTACAGAAGTATGTGTCTGAGTACACAAACTACATGCACTTGTTGTCTCAAACTCTGCAATTCCTGAATAAAGCATTACTGCATGTAAATTCAGTTTGCCTAGTGTGATAGCTATCAGTGTGACAACCATCAACTGACAAGCCATGAAATGGTCAAGCAATTGCACTAAACAATCATTGTAGGTCCCTTCCAGCTGGAAGTATTCTATTGTATTCTCTGTGTGCTTCTCATTATTGTCTGCAAATACATCCATCAAATCCTCAGTGTGAGTTGGCTCTCCCACTGAAATAAAAGACAAACCTGCAACAGAACCAGGGCTTTAGACACCACACAGGAACACAGTTTCACAGAATACAAAGTTAGAATTATTGCAGCCAGACATTTATTAGGAAGTGTTAGGAAGTGTAAGACTGCCTGGATTGGAATGGTTCACGGTTTCTGTACTATTATTATTTGTTTCTGTATTAGTTCTTACTTTAGTGCTTTACATTAAAAATATTTATATATATATATATATATATATATATATCACTGCATGTCATCTTATGTTCCATTCTACTGCTTTAATGCTGAATAATTAAAAGCACAGAGACTGAACCTTCTGTTATTTTTAGGCTGTAACATGCAAAATGTTATGATGTCATTGCTGAATTATTCCAGAAGTTAATTATTTATGTTCTGGAGGCATTTTTTTTCCTGCTTCTTTACCTGATGACTGAACAAGAAACTTGCCCCAGGAAAGAAGGGTGTGTCTGTGCTGTGGAGGTGGTGGTAAATGTTAATGCAGGAAGAACCTAGAGTACCTAAGGAACTACAAGAACAAACTTTTGGCCTCGAGCCATGTAGTTTAGTTGGAGAAATGTCTCATGGGGTAGGTGGTATATTACAGTGTAAACTAAAATTCAGTGAAACATAGCACATTAGAGGCCTGCTTCAGATACTACAATTAAGAAACACTTAAGGAGCTGCTTTTTCAATCAGCAAACTTTTGGGGTAAACTTCATTATAATTATTCTCAGTGTTTGTATGCATGCAGTATGAAAGTTACATTCACAAATTGTTTTGCATAGGCAATATTGAGTATCAGGTGTTTTCATAAATCATTAATTTTTAGTATCCTAAAGTTCAACAGACTATGGTATGGCTTTCAACTCTAAGTAATTCCTGAAATTATACTGTTTTAGCCCATGTGGGGTACATCAGTATTATCTATATACCTGCAGTATAGTTTCAACTTTCTATTTTTTTCTCTGGAAAATTTTCATAAAAACATTAAGTATGTATAACCCAATGCACAAATGCAAGAGATCTGAGTCAAATACAGTCCCTTTTTTATAGGGACTCTATTTGACTCAGATCTCTTTCTGTAACAGTCATTCAGGACCCCTAAGAAAGCTACAGCTGCATTTGTATCCACCTGTGACTGTAGTCAAAGTAATTGACCAGTAGAAATTGTTAGTGTGAGTTCTGTTGTCAGGAAACTTTCTCATGTATGAGACAGCCTCAGGCAACTGACCTGTTTCTAGAGAACTGGCTGGTTTTATACAGATACAAACATTCTATATGCTGCAATTCTTGGTTACACAAAGAGGAAAAAATTTGTATTTATACAGTGTTCTCATCATAATTTACAAAAGTCAATTCTTTGTAAAAGACAACATCCTTTTCAAGAGCTGCTGGCATATTGCAGTGTATCACTCATCACTCATCATTCCTGATTTTAAACTGAGGCAATTTCTTAGGCTATCTCTCATGTAGTAGTGCACAGCTTAGAGCCTGCTGGTTGTGTTTGATCAGTCACTGCAGTCTGTCAGAAGGATGCAGTTCTCCTTGGGGAACAATCAATAATGGCAAAGAGAACTACTGTGCTGTAACTGTGGTACTAACATTGTGCGTCAATGGGATGCAACTCCGCCTCATGTCACTCACCAAGACAAAACAAACCAGATAAAGCAAACAAACACCAGACACGTACCATAAAATCATAACAATCAAAATTATTGATTTTCAGTTCTATTAAAAACCTAACAGATAGGCCTAGAATGTCATAAGTGTATCTGCATGTTAGTCAGAGAACGATTTTGGAGTAAAATAATCTCAGAAGTGGCCTTAGCTATTGCGTCACATTTTACCATTTATTTCCATATATCATGGAAAGTTTTGTCTGAACCAAGTCTCTACCGCTCCTGAAAGGAGGGTGCAGTGAGGTGGGGGTCGGTGTGGTCTGCCGGGCCTGCACTGAGAGGACAAGAGGAAATGGCCTTGATCTGAGACACGGGAGATTCAGATGAGGTATTAGAAAAAAAATTTGTCACTCTCAGGGTGGGCAGGCACTGGAATATGTTTCCCGGGAGGTGGTGGAGTCACCATCCCTGGAAGATTTTAAAGGTCTCTTGGGTGAAGCACCCAGCTGGTGCGTGCTTCCCGGGAAGCCGCTGCCGTGGCGGCAGTGCCCGTGTCCCTGCGGGAAGCGCTGAGGGCGCGGTGCCGCGGTGCCGCGGCGCCCCCTGCCGGCCGTGGGGAAGAGAGTCCGCGCCCACCGGCGGCGCCGCTTGCTGCGCCCGGGAGAAGGCGCGGCCGGACCGGGAATGGCGGCGCCCATTGGTGCGGCCGGGAGAAGGCGCGGCCGGACCGGGAATGGCGGCGCCCATTGGCGCGGCCGGGAGAAGGCGCGGCCGGACAGGGAATGGCGGCGCCCATTGGTGCGGATGGAAAGAGGCGCGGCGGCGCCGGGAGCGGCGGCGCAGTCGCGGGCGAGCCGTGGGGCTGTCGCCATCTCGCCATGGCTCGCGAGTTCGAGTTGTGCCCCGGGCGGCGCGTCGGCGGCGACCAGCCCTGCTTCATCATCGCCGAGATCGGGCAGAACCACCAGGGCGACCTGGACATCGCCAAGCGCATGATCCGCATGGTCAAGGTGCGAGGGGGGGAGGCGGGTGAGGGAGGGCGCCGGGCCGCGGCCTGGGTTTATTCCAGACACAGATTGTCTGCAGGGAGACCCTTGCATTTGACTTTGATGAAGGGTCTCGAGTGCTTGTCCAGTGAGGAGCGGCTGAGGGAGCTGTGGTTCTTCAGCCTGGAGAAAAGGAGGCTCAGGGGTGATATGATCACTCTTTACAACTTCCTGAGAGGAGAGTGTGGCCAGGTGGGGCTCGGCCTCTTCTGCCAGGCTGCTAGTGACAGGATGAGAGGACGTGGCCTCAAGCTGTGCCACAGAGGTTAAGGCTGGCCATCAGGAAGAATTTCTTCACGGAGAGGCCGAACAGACATCGCAGCGGGCTGCCCAGGGAGGTGGTGGAGTCGCTCTTCGTGGAGGTGTTTAAGGAAAGACTGGACGTGGCACTTGGTGCCATGGTCTGTTTGACAAGGTGGAGCTCAGTCACCTCAAGGACTCGATGATCTCAGAGGTCTTTTCCAACTAATTCATCTGTGATCTTTTGTTATGGCTGCAGCCCCGCAGCTGGGGCATGAGCTTACGGGGAATTTAGGAAGTATCTGAACCATTAAGCTGCTGAACCATCTCTAATGAACCTCCAGTTTGACTTGGTTGACATCAGGGCTTTATTGCAGTAAAGCTTGTGTCATCCAGTAAGACAGTCAAACTGCTTTCAAATTTGATGTTATATCCATTAGATAGAAAACCACACATCATCACAGCTCAGGACATGGTGTATTCAGTTATGTGACTAGGCTGAAAGTGGAGACCAGTCTAATGAGGATTTGTCTTTACTGTGTGACTTCATATGAATTATTATTCCTTCAAATGTATTATTATTCCTAGAGGTGTTCAAGAGTGTCTGGTGCTGGTGACGTGATCTAGGGATAACTGTGGTGATGCTGGGTGGATGGTTGGACTGGATGATCTTAAAAGTTTCTTCCAGCTTTGATGATGCTATGAATTTCAGATTCATACTCCTTGTTCCATAGAATCCTGTGTCCTTTTTTAATGTAACATTATCAGTGACAGCTGATCTGGTAAAAACACCACAGAAGTCAACTCTTTGAATAAGCAACATGCATAACTAAGTAGTTTTGTAGGTTTAATATGGTTTCTCTGAACTGCTGCTCTACTGAGTGTATCGGGACTCTGAAATAAAAGGGTTCACACGTGTGTAGGTCCACAGTCACTCTGTGTTCATTACCATTTCTGTGAGTGCAGGTTCACTTGCAGTTCCACTCAGTGTGCACCAGCTTGTTTTGCAGGACTGCGGAGCAGACTGTGCTAAGTTCCAGAAGAGTGAACTGGAGTACAAATTCAACAAGAAAGCCTTAGAAAGGCCCTACACCTCTAAACACTCCTGGGGAAAGACTTATGGGGAACACAAGCGCCACTTGGAGTTCAGTCATGACCAATATAGAGAGCTAAAGAAGTATGCAGAGGAGATTGGCATTTTCTTCACAGCTTCTGGCATGGATGAGGTATGTAAGCCATACTGGAATGACAAGGGGAGTCTGGCTGTTGTGTCTGTTGGGTATTACTTAGGTGTGATAGTTTTTACAGGAAAAGAATGTACAGAAAATCAATTTCTTAACTGAGACACCTAGAGTAATTTGCCAGTTCACCTGTGTTCCTATAATGGTTGGCTGAATATTTTGGAAGACTTGCCACATGTTGAGATATTTTTCAGAGTAATTAGTATTAGGGACAAGGCTTCATTTTGACCTTCATAAACAATTGAGGCTTTGAGAGTGTAGATCAAGATGGCAATCAGACTGCTCTCCAGTGTCGTCTGGTATGTTGGTTTCAAGCATATCAAACTTCTTTCTATATTTAAACCAGATTCTTTTCTTGATCTAATCCCCATTATTTCCCTCTTTTTTTCCACCCTCCTTGTTGTTTACTAGACCCTTGTGGTGTTTCTAAGCAGTAGGAGTCTTATGCCCCTATTTCTTTTACTAATCTCATGGAGTGGCTCACACCTTGTCCTGTTACTGCTGAATCATTTACTGATTTTTGCCAGTGGGCTCTTGAACAGTCAGTCACCAGCTTCACAACTCCATAAAACTCCTGCCGCTGTTCCCCCTTAGACATGTATGCTTGTAGCTGTTGCATGTCATTTGCCTCAGAATAATGGTAGTGACAGTATTAACAAATGCAACATACAGTTCATATGTGTAAGCTGTAAAGGTCAGGTAACACTTGAACTTCAGTATAGATGAGAGATTACAGATTTATTTTTCTTTGTGGCCTAGAAAAGACAGAGAACCAAATGGAAAGAAGTACCAGAAGTAAGCTAGCCACTCTTGCATATGGCCAGCAGAACCATGTCCCTGGCTTTCTGGAAGTAGACATACCCAGGATAGGACAAGGAAGTGATTTACTTAATGTTTTAAGGCGATCTATTCATTGTCTCACTCTTGCAATCAGAGACAATTCCTGATACATGAGTGTTATTTCTTACAATTTGTCTCTCTCTTCATCTGATGATAGACAAATATGCTGTGTGTATATGGCAATAACTCAGTGCCATGGATTCAGAAATAGATCTGTGAAAAGAGAGTGTGGTGATGTTTCTTTTATTGCTCTCTTCACGTCTAGAAGACCTGCTGAACAACATGCATTCCTTTAAGAAAGGAGAACACAGGAATCTCGGACTTCTGTATCTGGAATCTTAAAAAACCCACGTGCCTTTGGGGAGAAGAAAACCCGCACATTCCTTCTTTGATGTTGAAACCTCTGGTTTCTAAAGGCTGTAGTACAACACAGAACACCTTTTATAGGCAGCAACTAAGATCACTTTCTGCTGCTCGGATCCCTCTTTTTTTCTGCTGTGCTCTTTATCAGCTAATTAACAGAAGTGATACATGTTTGTGCCTTCTTTTTGAGCAGTAATTACATTACACCCTAATATTTCTGGTGGCATTTCTGTAAGACAGGGGTTTGGAACTTAAAATATTTCATAAATTGACATAAAAACTCTTTAAGAATGCATTAACTTCTGTAAATTTAACATAATCTCCGGAGGTCCAGATACATCAAAGAGGTTAAATTGTGTGTTTAACTATATGAGGAAATTATTTAAGTGATGTGTGAAATAAATAAAAAAGCCTTTGAATAACTTTTTTATTTATTCTGTTCTGGTGTGTACTGGAGACAAACCAGGATCTCATTGAACCACTCCCTTTGATGTCATTTTTGTTATTTGAAATTACTTCCTGGTTTTTGAATCTCTTAAAGAAGAGCTGCTAATTTTCAAGAGATATTTACCTAATGAAAAGTGGCCTTAGATGCAAGGTCTACCTGTCATATTTAATTTTTTGCCATCTCCTGAGATAAGATCTGTGTCTTTTTAATATAGATTACTCATTGTCTTTATGCACAATACATCTGAATAAACTATATTAAATAGTGAACAGAGATGTTATACATAGCAGGTACAAGAAATTTAATCTCCATCATACTGATGGTAGCAAAATTAGACTGAATAAGGTGTTATTATCTTTGTGGACATTAGCATTCTTTCTCTGGCATTAAGTAAATGTAACTGCAACAAGAAAAGAGCTGAAGAAATTAAAAGTGTTTGTGGGTGGTTGACAAGGGGCAAAGGTAACTGTTTCATTTTATTTTTCCCAGAGGTGAATGAAGGATTTAAATACCTCTTGCCTGTGATAGATTTGGAATTTAAATTTTCTTCCAATAAAGTACTAATTTTTAAAAGGCCACTTACTTACCCATTTTCAGGAAGCCTCTAATAATTCTTGAATTGTTGGGCATATTTTTAGAGAAAGGCAGAGTATAATTAGCATTTAAATAAACAGTTTTATAGTCTTTGCTTTGGCATATTTTATTGTCTAGTATCTTTCCTAAAAGGAAACTAATTTTGAATTTCCCTTTTTGGGCACTTTTGGATTTTTTTCCTGGTGCTTATTTAGTATGCCCATACAAGTTTTCAGTATGATGAATCTGTTCTACTACCTGTAGTTTTAAACACTCTGTAGCTTAATCTTTCTGATCTGCAAGACATGTGTGGCAGGAAAACTCTGTGCATGCTTGTATCACATTTCTTCTTCAACAGGCTGACTTCCATCTGCAGGTAGTTGCTCTCTCTGGTAGTGTTTAAAAAAAAGAGAGAAAAAAGCAAGAATGTTGTGATACACAGGTTCATCTGCAAGCTGAGATGGAGCTCTGCTTGCTTGTACTAAGCAGCAGACTGTAGAGCTGGTGAGACCAGAGACTGCCTTGAGACAGTGATCCCAGTCAAAACTTTGCACTAAAACAGAAGCATGAAAGAAGGCATCGTAATTATACTCCACCTGGAGGGAAACTAATATTGTCAAGATAGCAAATGCTACTTCAGGAGCAGTGTTTTTTGTGTATAATTCTGTATAAAACCCACCTGTTTAATTAAGCTTTGGGTTTGTCGTGTCAAACAGTTGTTTATTTCCAAGCACAGTAGTTCTTGATCCCTTGCTCCAGCTGAAATGGAGTGTTAAAACATTGTTTCTTTTCCTTGTAGATGGCTGTGGAATTTCTACATGAACTGGATGTTCCATTTTTCAAAGTAGGATCAGGAGATACAAATAATTTTCCATATTTGGAAAAGACTGCAAAGAAAGGTAAGCATTTTCTTTGAGCCATCTTGGTGAACATCACAATTTCTCAGTAGCTCAGTTATTACATTTTTCCTCCAGTTGATTTTTGGGAAGAAAATCTGAAGTTTCTTTATATTTCAGACTTTGAAAAAAAAGTTTTACCCAGAGTTCTTTTTTAGTTTTACTGAATTAATTTAATTTAATCTTGGGTAGCTTTCTTGTTGACATAGGACAAAACTTGTGCATATTTTCTAATGGCTAGGTCGCCCAATGGTGATTTCCAGTGGGATGCAGTCGATGAGCACAATGCATCAGGTTTACCAGATTGTGAAGCCCATAAATCCAAACTTCTGCTTCCTGCAGTGCACCAGCGCGTACCCGCTTCAGCCAGAGGACGTCAATCTCCGTGTTATATCGGTCAGTGAGTAACCCCCAGAGCGTGCTGTGGGTAGGGTGGCAGAGAAGGGTTGTGTGCTTTTACTGAGATACACTTCCAGGTCTTAAGGTGTGCTGGAATTTGCTTCTGAGAAGTTACAGGATGTGTCACCTTCCTCTAATTCACACTGAAGTTAAAAGATCCACCGGGTCCTTTTTTAGCAGAACTCATCTTTGAGGAATATGATAAAGGATATTGCTGGAGTATTCACAGTTCAACAGAGGAAAACATGACATGGTTATCAGGTTAACCCTGTGCTTTATAGTGCTAAGAAAAATCATGTAGACTGTTATCATTAAGAAGGTGCATGAAGTGAGAATGTAATTCTAAATAGGGAGTTAGACCAGAAACTTTGTTTAAAAAGTTTCATGTGACTATTAGAGCCATGAAGAAAATTGATTCGACCCTACTAGAGTTTCCTTCATTTGAAATGTTACTTGTATATGCCAAATAGTGATGTGAGAAAGTTTTCCCAAACTGGCCAGTGTTCAAGCACTACCTTAGATCTATGCACACATAATGTATTATTTTTAATAGAATGACACATGGCTGCATTTAAGTGCTTTTAGGACTTGGTGACTGTTCTCTGTGCTTGGATTAAAAGGTTGCTTCAGATTTTAAATACAATGTTGAAGAAATCTGTTTTGGATACAGATTAAGTTTAACCAATCCACTGGGTTCTTGGATAAAAATAGGATACTATTACTGTTACTCAGGCTGATAGAGGCCTTGAAGACCTTGAATAGTAGAAGTGTATTAAAAGGAGAAATGTAAGTTGTAGAAGAGAACATGCTTCCTTTTTCTTGGCAGTATTGATAATATTAGTCAGATTTGGAATGTGGTGATTGGTAATGCAGTGTAACTTGTTGAATTTAAAACGTTGCATTCTCTGCATATCCAACTGCTTGTTTTATGGCACAGTATTTGTCCACTGCAGTTATCACTGTTAAATTTGCTTTGTTTTTGAAACTGCTGCCTTGGTAATTCAGACCAACTCTGTCATGATTCAAGGCATATCAGTCAGCTTTTCCTGATATCCCCATTGGCTACTCGGGGCACGAAACTGGCATAGCCATTTCAGTGGCAGCTGTTGCTATGGGTGCTAAAGTACTGGAACGCCATGTGACTCTCGACAAAACATGGAAAGGAAGCGACCACCAAGCATCTCTGGAGCCAAATGAGCTGGCAGACTTAGTGAAAGCCATCCGTACTGTGGAAAAAGCAATGGGTTCTCCAATCAAACAGCTCTTGCCCTGTGAAATGGCTTGCAATGAAAAGGTAACTTTTGATTTTAGTTTGTGTAAACCTGCAACTAATTTAGACCTATAGCTAATAACTCTGTATTCAGAAAAATAGGTTGTGAATTGTTTATTGCAGTAGCATTTCTGCCTCTGCACTTAGAAAATTTCACACTGCATAATGTTGGCAGTTTTGATTATAACAGAGTTATATGTTTATCATCTAGTTGTTACCTAAGTTGAGTAACAGCCTGCAATCATTTAGGTTGGAAAAGACTCATGAGGTCATTTAGTCCAACCTAACACTGCCAAGCCCAACCACTAATTTATGTTCCTAAGTGCCATGTCTACACATTTTAAATAACTCCAGGAATCATGTCTCAACTGCTTCCATGTTGTAGACTGTTTGAGTGCTTGATCACCCTTTTAGAGAAGAAATTTTTCCTAATATCTAGTCTAACCCTCCCCTGGCACAGCTTGAGGCCATTTCCTCTTGTTCTGTCATTTGCTGCCTGGGAGAAGAGACCACTCAGCTGACTACAGCCTCCTTTCATGGAGTTATAGACAGTGATAAGGCCCCTTCTGAGCTTCCTTTTCTCCAGGCTAAACACCCCCCAGCTCCCTCAGCCACTTTTCAAAGGACTTGTGCTCCAGACCTTTCACCAGCTTTGTGGCCCTTCTTTGGATTCACTCCAGCATTTCAATGTCCCTCTTGTAGTAAGGGGGCCAGAACTGGACACGGGATTTGAGGTGTGGCCTCACCATTGCCAGGTACTTGGCAATAGTAATAGGAATATTACCTCTATGATTTTATATTAACTGCTTTTACACTAAACTAAAATACCTGTCATTCTAATCAGATTCCCTCCATTGTGATTTTGAAAAATTCCAGTGAGCTACTGTCCAGTTTCAGAAAACATCCGCATGTTCCTGGCAGCCTAGTTAGAGTGAGAGTAACCATGCTAAATTAATCTTCATTTGGAATAAGTAATGGAGAAGGCAGTTCTACACAACCTAAGTTCTAAAATAACTGCAGAACATTTTTTATCCTTTTATGTTATACTAAGCTAGCAATGGAATTAACTTCAACATTGTTTTTTTCCCCCTCCCTGTAGCTGGGAAAGTCGGTAGTAGCAAAAGTAGCAATTCCTGAAGGTGCAGTATTGACACTTGACATGCTGACAGTGAAGGTGGGAGAGCCAAAGGGATTTCCTCCAGAATGCATCTTTGACCTCGTGGGCCAGAAGGTTAAAAGAAGTATTGAAGAAGATGAAACCATCACTGAGCAAGCAGTGGAAAATCACGTAAAAAAAGTGAAGTGCTAAACCAAAGCACTCCATTCCATATTTCTCAATGTACTACCATGCAATGTGGTTGAGAATAGCAGCATGGTAGATTAGAAGAAAGGGGTGTAATTATGAGGGTACAAACAGGATAGAATTTTCAGGGTCTTGTTAGCAGGAAGTTTCAGAAGCAAAGGGGATATAAATTATGAAGATTTTATTAGAAACTGTATAGCATTGTGCCTAGGAAATGCCATGATCCTCTCTTCTCCATTTCACTTAATCTAGATTAATTTGGAGTTCTGCCAAATAAAAGACCACAGTCTGCTGCTTTCCAGCTTCCCTTTTCTGTTAAGAATACAGTAAATTATGAGAATTTTGTCTACACTTTGAATTGCTCTAGCCCTGTGTTATGGTTTGACACTGGCACAATGCCAGTGCCCTTATGAGAATACCCTCTCCCTGGTTTCTGCTGTGAGATGTGACCAGGAATAAGCAAAGCAGGTTCTCACTTAGGAAAAAAAAAATTATTAACTAAACTACAAGGGAAAGGAAAAAAAAAAAAGGAAACACATAAGGAAAATGAAAACTTCACAAACACATCTCCTCTTCCTCTCCACTAAATTCTCAATACAGTACATCCTCAAATCATCAACTCTCAGTCCGGCACTACCTTTTAGAATACTGAGTCTTCAGTTTATCAAGAGGAGAAGGAGTCTTTCTTGTGCCAATGGTGACTTCTTTTCATGTCCAGCACTCTCACTACTGAACACGGACCAGAGCTGCTTCTAGGGTCGACTTTTAAGGATGCTTCATTCCACTCTAAAAAGGCACAGTCTCAACTTTGGGACATCTGTTCCCCCCATATTTTTCATCCCCTGGGGCCGAGGAGCACCAACACTGAACCCTCTTGGTCCTGAGGCATTGCCTCCCCCTAGAATGCAGTCCCTGTATCACAAGGAACATGGTTCTGTCCATGGCTATACAAAAAGAGTCCAGCAAAAGCCACTCCATCATCTCTTCCCACTAAGATTCTTCTCTATTATTCCAACATCTCTCACTTGCCCAGACCTCTCTCACACTTGCCCCTTTCTTTCTTCATCTTCTACTCTATCTTTCTTCTAGGAAAGGTTATTGTTCTGTAAAGTTTTCATTGACTGAAAAGAGGTTAAAAGCTCCTACAAGCGGCCGGCTGCACCTCCCCCTTCTTCTCCGTCCCAGCCGTGCTGCCGGCACAGGCCCATGTTTATCCAGTTTCAAGGTTACAGTCTCAGGCACTGGCTCTCTCTCTCTTTCTGTGTCTCTCAGGGGGGGCTGCCCGATGGCTCCCGGTGTCTCTCTCTGTCTTCCACCCTTCCACCCCGGGGCTCAGGCCTACCTCTCTCGGCCACATGGCTTTTCCCCTCCCCCTGCCCAGCCAGCAGCTGGGCCGGGGGAGAGATCCGAACTCTTTCCCGCCCGGAAACCCAAAAGGACCCTCCCAGGGGAGAGCCCTGCTTTTAACCCCGTGTTCTCAGAGTCGGATCCATGTCCTAAATGGCCACATTAAGTGCCAATATTAAAATCTAAGCACCAATTAGCCTCACCACAGCATCCCAGAAAACATATTTCCTGTCAAACCACCACACCCTGTATCTTTCGATACGCCTCTCTTTTCTGCCATTTGCCTCACCTGTGTGATAGCAGGACTCTGGTTGGAGTTGAATACAGATAAGTGAAGGTTTACAATGAACAGAAAACTTCAAATGCAACCTGGATGGATTTTTTTTTTAAGATGAAAAAGTGTCATGATAAAGCATTGGGTTGCAGCAACCTGTATTCTGTGGGAAAATGGGCTTCATGAGAAAGCTAATTTCTCAAGAGACAGTACTAGGAAAGGAAGCATAGGGGTATTTAGAAAGGTCCCATTTAAGGAGCAAGAGAGCCTTTTTTGAACTGAAAGGCCAAAAGGCATGCCAGAGAGATTGAGGAGGGAAGAAAAGTAGATCTGAGATGAATCAGTGGAAATAAGTTTAACTTATGCTTCAGAAATTCTGAAAAGCATCTATTGCAAGTTGAGTGAAGTCTGGAATATTAAGTCGATTCTGCAGAGCGGAATTGGGGGGGGGGGCAACTTCTCAGGTAGGAAGCCAAATGCTGGTGAAATTTGAGCAGGTTTTTTTTTTCTGTCCTAGCCAGAATCCTCTACATTGGGATTTTTCTCCCAAAACTGGTGTGTGAGATCGCTGAGGCTGACTGCCTGACTACATCACACCATTATGCTTCAGCATGATGGCCAGTACATGATTTGTGTGGTCTGCTCTTGCATCCCAGCTTCTCACTTTTCAAGTGAGAAATGCAATACCACTCCTATTGCCTGCTGCTTTTCCCTTTGACCAGAAGGGAGCTGTATAGCCGCAGCTGCAAGCCATTAATTCTTCAAGTACCTTGCTTAGGACAGAACTGCTTTGCAATAATTAATCTTTTTTCTGTGGTGGAATCATTTACTAGTGATGGTTACTTGGAACTTGCTGCCTTTTTGTCATGAGTTGGTGGAAGTATCTTGAATTTGGTGGTGAGTGGTTTTGTACCTATAAACTGTTTACTTTCAAAATGTGCAATTCTGAGGAAACTGTATTCATATCTTTATAAGGGGAAGCAGAGGTTGAGTCATATACTTGACCATATATGGTCAAGTGATCTGTGACTGATGCAGTATGCTCGCCTTACATTAAAAAACTACTTAATTGTTAAAAGATTTTTTTTTTCATTTCAAATTTGAAAAATAAATTTAGCTTATAAAACAAGCTCTTGTTTCTGCATTTCAGCCTATGGTCAGACCTTGCCTTTGCCAGCACTGGTGATGCAGTATTATAATACCCTTTAGTATTTGAACACTGTAACATTACCTGACCAGTTTCAAATAGCAGTGGTTTTTCACTCTGGGCTGGTCCTGGAGACTGCTGTAAGCAAAAGCTCCAGAAATGTCCAGGACTTTAATAATGTATTGGTGGGGGGGAAACATGCATATACAGAAAATTGCAAGCTGTGTCCCGTAGTTTTATGTGAATGTTGCAAATGGGACGCAAAGATAAATGGGCCACAAATGCACCTCTGGCCTGGTGTTTTCATTCCACCTGTGAGCCCTGCAGATATTTCATCCTCTTAGGGGTTGTACACAGCTTCTTCTCATGCTGTCACTCAATGGAAGGAATAGGGCCACCCAGAAGTCCGATTCAGAGCTTCTGTCAGATGTAAGACCAGCTAGTGACTATTAAATGTGGCCACAGAAGCTCCAGTTCCAGAAGGGACCTTTCCAAGAGTCAGTGCCAGACTTTGATTTTTCCAAGATGACACTTAAATATGAGCTAATTCACTTAGTGCATTTATTATTCAAATCTGACCTTGTTAATGATAACAATATGCAGTATAAAATCTTGAAGCTTGAACCAAACTAAACCTGTTGCCATACACAATTGCAGCCTCTCCAGGCTGATAAGGGGAGGGAGTTCATTAAAAAAAATTTCAAAAAGTCAATATCCGTGTTCCAGTCTGAGTTGTAATATGTATCTTTCAACCTGACTTCTTCCATTTTGCGAGTTGAAAAATACTACATACGGCACTTCAGGTAGTACAGCAACACCATTTATAAATCAAATCATCTTTCCCCATTGAAAAACACATATACATTTAAAAAATACAGTTGATTTACTTGAACTTACTGTTACAAGTTGAAAAAAGTACAACAATAGTATATACTGCACTTTGACTGGTATATCGACATCACTTATAAAAGTGAGGTCACCTTCCCTCATTAAAAAAAAAATACACATTAAAAATCACAGTTGGTTTTCCTAAACTTATGTTACCTTCTAAAAGCATCATAATTACAACTTTGATACAACAGAGATGAATTCATGTAGAAAATTGCTGAAGTGGCATTAGCAGAAAAAGCATGAACTAGTAGGCTTATTTCTTACGTTAGTTTGCATGTTCTAATGGACCCTTCCCAGAGTCTCAGGGCTGGATAAACTGGGTCTGTGAATTTGCAGCAGAAGGTGTGCAAATGAGCCATGCCATTGCTAACGTTGTAGAATGAAAGGATTCCTGCTTCATAATCTAGAAAAATGCCAATGCAATCAGGATCATGTTCTACCAGGATGGGGATTCTCTCTCCCTTGTGAAATGCCCAGTATTCAAAATCAAACTTCTTAAGGCACCAAGATGCTCTATTCCAGCCCAGTCGACAGGCTTCAGAGTCTCCTTTCCTGCCAATGGTCGGGTAGGCTGCGCCAATCCACTGCCTCTCTCCAGCACGAAGCAGGTCAACTTCCCAGTAATGGCTCCCAGAAAGGAATGCGTCTCTGCTTAGCACTTGCCATAATTTATCAGATCTTTGGGGACTACAGGGGCAAAGTATTCTCCTCCAGCTACAGCTTACTTCAAGGTGGTCTTCTGACAATTTCAGTTTTGGGTGAATGCTGTCATATTCCCAGGTTGGTGATCTTGCATCTGCAGTAAAAGCCATAATGATACTTGCTACATTTCTCATGACCCTTGGAGAAAGTCTGGGTTATAGAACACCTGCAAAGGAGCTCACAGTTTGAAGTGCCTTGGGACAGTCAGAAAGCCTGCGGTCCCAGGAACATGGGCTGGAAAAGGCATGCCGAGGCAGTCAGAGCAGGCCACTAATATTGCTGCCTCCACACCTTTTGTGATCTGGGCCAACCATGGTGATGGGGACCTCAGCCACAGCACCCTTTACATTCTGAGTTAGGGCTCAGCCAGAAAGCCCACAGGTCCAAGGACACTGGGTCTGGAAAAGGCATTCCAGTCAGAGCAAGACAGGGACCCAACATTGCTGACTGTACATTAGGTAGGGATGGGATTCAGCTAGCCACAAAGCCTACATCTCCAGGGACACTGGGGCTGGAAAATGTATGCTAAGTGCATAAAGCAGTGAACCAACACTGCTGTCCCCACACCTTTCTAACATAGGGCACCAACGTGATGCGCACCTCTGCCACAGCACTAAGCTGCCATTTGGGCTGAGGGTCAGGATTCAGGGAGCCACAGAGCCCACAGCTCCAGAGACACTGCAAAAGGCATGCCAAGGGAATCACAGCAGGGCACCAACACTGGTGCCTCCACACATTTCTAATCTGGATCACTCATGGTGATGGGATAAGGAGAAGCCATACACAGAGTGTTACAGTCCTGTGGTCTGTTCAGCCTGGAGGAGACTAAAGGGAGACCTCACTGTAGTTTACATCTTCCTTGTGAGGGGGAGAGAAGGGGCAGGCACTGATCTCTTCTCTGTGGTGACAATGACAGGACCTGAGGGAATGAAAATTCTGTCAAGCAGGGCTGAGGTTAGGAAGAGGTTAGGAAAGGTTCCCCAGAGGGTGTTTGGGCACTGGAATAGGCTCCCCAGGGAAGTGATCACAGCACCAACCCTGACAGAGCTCAAGAAGCGCTTGGACAATGCTCTCAGATATGTGGTACTGTTCAGGCCCAGGAGTTGGACCCTAGTGATTTTTGTGGGTCCATTCCAGCTCAGGAGATTCTAGGACTCTAGCATAATCATACTTACGTTTTAAGAAAAGCAACCGATCAACAGGAGTCAAGGTTTTCAGCACTGTCCCAGGCTCCTTCTTTGCAGTGAGATTAAGGCTACTGAAAACGTCTGGGCAAAGATGAAAAGGGACAGCTTAGGGAGTCTGCCAGTTTTTCAACAATCATTTTCCAACTTCATGGACAAACTATGTTACTAACTATGTTACTTTTTCTGGGGAGGGGCTACTCATGCTATGCTTTCAGCATTATGCTCTTTGTATAGCATAGAGATGCTGGACTAGTGTTCCCACAGAAATACACAATTGAGCACAACACCAAGTAATCAGACCTGATTCCTTTAAAACTGGCCCTTATCAGAGGGCCAGCTGAAGACAGCTGCAGGTGCTTGCTGCAGAGCACCTCTATGATGCTTTCCAGCAGTCCTACCCACATCCTGCAGTCTTTCAGATCAGATCCGACTATTTGCCCCAGCAACCTGCTACTGTCTTTTCGGTGGCAATTCTCTGATAAGGGCTTAAAAGGCAGCTGGGTGAAATGTGATGGCCAGTGTTGCCTGCTCACTCAAAGAGCAGCAGGATTTTCCCATGGTTATTTAGCTTTGTGCCTCTGTGCCACATTAGGAAAAACTGCTTGCCTTCATTATGCCAAAGGTCATTGAAGGATGAACTAATAGCTCAAAGACAAAACGATTTCTAAATAGAACGTGTCAGTTCAGCTTTACAGTACTAAAAATCATCAATTTTTTTCAGACTGAGACAGATCACCAGGTACATCAATTAAAAAAAGCTTTCAAATTTTAAAGGTACCCCAATGCCAGAGCACTTGCATTCAATTGTAACTGAGAGAATAGATACATTCTATAGGTGTGATGGTCTACATTAAATTGTATTGAAATACCTGATGGAACTGGGGGGAAAAAAAGCAACAGACAAACCAAAGATCATCTTCAGAGTTGGAAGAGAAATCTCTTAGTTCCTAAATCACCACTCTATCACCTAAATCACCTATAACAGCATTACACTCATGCTGACAGAAAGCAGTACCCATGCCTGAAACACTGTTGTTTCTCCAGATGATTTGGTAAAAAGTCCTGTTCTTACTTTAAAAGTACACTTTATTTGCAAAGAGAGCAGAAGAAAGCAAAATTCAGAGCACTCTCCCAGGTTCCTTCTTTAAGCTGGGCTTCCAATGGTTTCTGTAGAATGGACTGCAGAGCTCTGATGAAGTGTTTATAATGGTTAAGTAAGTGTTCAAACGAGAGCAATATTGGATGCCACTTTTCTAATGGGTGTCTGGATTCCTTAATTTCCTTCTCAATTTCTGTGTACTTCTGAGAGCAGAAAGCCAAACGCTACAATTAGCAGAGACTGTGACATGAAAGGACTCTTCCATCCCAGCTCCCATACACCACAGAGCAAGGACAGCTCCAACATGAGGTAAACCTATGGGCCGTAACAGGCAAACTTTGCTGAGATCAGCCTGCCTTTTAGCTCATTAGCCTGACCATTACCTCCTCCTGCCAGTGGAGCCATCCCAGACATGGAGAACGCAACAGCCACAGTTAAAGAGATCCCTCCAAGATGGAAATGAGTTTAGCCTAGCCAGGACCCTTTGTGGGAAATCCCATCAATGGCAAAATCAAACTATTAAGTTTTAAAAACAATTTGAAGAATAAAATCCAACTTCCCCACAAGAAAATCTCCACAAAATCACAAAGAGTGGCTCCTGTGTGTAGGTGTGTTGCTAGCACACACAGCAGAATGCCAGGGCCATATCACAGCAATGGAAACTACAGTCTGACACATTGCAAGGATGCAAAAATGCTCCAGAGGCATCATCCTGTAAGAAACTGCATCTTTTGTCTTTTGTCAGGGCATAAGCACATGGCAACATAATCTTTCCAAGGAAGGTGAAGATTATCGCCTGTAGGAAAGAAGAACAGCATTGCTCCCTCCAGTGAAGTGGAGGCTTACAGTGATTAGGATTTCTTGCAATTAAGGAATTTACAGATTTTAACTTCCCTCCTGAGGTTGCCTGAGGACTGGCTTTTCTCATATCTTCATATTACACTGGACAAGGAAAGACTTGATACAGCATTTGTCTTCAAGATTAAGAGACATGTCTTTTCCATCTATGCTTAAAATTAACATGAATTTATACAGACCTGAAATCAATGCCACAGCAGGAAGACCTGCTCAAAAATCAGGAACTAAATTTGTTCACCAAAACAGCAACACAAAGCAAATTAAAAAGCGCTTAGGAAGATGCTGCTTACAAACAGAAGGATCTATAGAAGACATCACTAGAGAAATTTACCAAGGACTGTCAGGGTAAGAGGTAGAAAGAGACCATACAATATCACCTCCAGCAAATTAATAGGATCACTGTCCTGTTGTATTTGTCTGATTCAATGTGTGAAGGTCTCGAGGGCTTCAAGCTGTTCTTCACAGGACCTCAAATGCTGATCATGTGTTCCCAGAGCTTGCTGAGTCTTTTCATCAATGAAGATTTTTGCCAGACTCTCTTCCTCCCGAAGAAGTAACTGAAGCTCAGTAATTTTTTCTGACAGCTGCTGTTTAATCATATCAGCATGTGCCTATGGATAAAGCAGAAGAATGTCTCCTCCCTGGTCAACAGACCATAAACATTTCAGACATTGCTCTTTCAGGCTTTTAGTGCTATGTTTTGGTTGAATTTTACTTATTTTCTCCATCTCTTCAGAAACATGTCTCTACCCCTTAAGGGAGCACAGATATGATCTACCTGCTGATGTCTGGATGGAAAAGAGTGAGAGAAGATTCCAAGATGCCTATATATGTCAAAAAATCTGTTTTCAGCTGGAATTAACAGGGTACCATTTGTAACAAGAAACGGATCTTTTCCTTCAGTAGCAAGACTTTGACTGCTTTTAAAGCAAGCCAGAGACAAGTAAGTGGTAGGAAGAGAAAGCCTCCAAAAGAAAGTAGCATGAGGCCAAGTCTCTAAAGCCCCCTCAAGCTCTTACTGACATTTCTGTAACAGAAGTGCCTAGCGATGCTCCTTAGAGCAGAAGTAATTTCATGCTCTATAAATGAGGTACAGCTTAGCATACATTCCCCTTCTTAAGACAGAATCAACAGAACTGTTCCTGTGTTTACTCAACTCTCAATCCAGAAAATTCAATAATGCAGTTCAGTCCATATCATACAAGTTCAGTGCATATCATACAAGATACATAAGTGTAGCCAGAATAACATAGGCAGCTGGGGCTGCCTACTATTCCTCTGCATAAAAATTTCACCCTTGGTCTTCCAGAGATGTTCAGCTGATCAAGGAATGAGGATCAGGTCTTTGGAGACTCTCCCTCTTCCCTCTCTTTGGTAGTGTAATATATTGTGATGAATACAGGGAAAACACTCTTCTCCTGGGAAATAGAGCATCCACCCAATAGATGGCTGGGTCTTAGAATAGCTACAGAGAACACAAAATGTCTCCCCTTGGAAAATGACCATCCAGTGGAAAAGGAAATCACACTTTACTTTCACATCATTTACAGCCTGCTCTATGCTCCTTCTGTTGCCATCTTCTTCCTCTTTTCTCTCTTCTGGATTCTTCAAGCACAATGCCATGAGTTCCTATACAACAATGAAACAAAATAAAATGCTGTTTCGTAACACCTGTAAAAACCAGAAACAACTATCCGGCTTGATTTTCATATAGGGGGTACTGAAATACACTGTTTCCAAATCAGAATATTCTGAATTGGAAGGTGAAACTCTTAAATGAAAGGCCTTCTATGAGGCTTATTAAGGCCAGTATAGTGATTAACCATAAGGATTTCAGCATTTCACCTGGTGGTTACACTGGTAAGGTTTAGACAGCTGGGCAAATTAGCACCACCTTCTTAAGGAACAGGGAAACCCAAAGTGAAAAAAACATATCCATCTTTAATCTATGGTGCTGTGTATTTCCATTACGTGCTAATGCATTTAGCAGCTGAATGTAAGTACTAAGTACTTTTATTTAGAGGATAAGTGGAAGGCTCCACTTATCTAAAAATCCAGTGAATGTTCAGGATGCTTCCCAGTGTACAAATGACCAATCAGTTACCTCAGTATTGCCACAGTGATGCTGTAGTCTGAATGTCTGCAACAGCTAATAGTGTCAGCATGGCTAGTAATCAGTCACAGTATATGACACTTCTCAGATTATGGTGTGCCCAGCACAGCATAATCAATGTTCTGCTTATATCTTGCTCCAGTTTCTCACCTGCAGCCCTCTGAAACTGGCTGCCCTCTGCCCAGGAGGTTGAACAATCTTGATATGCCTGCTAATGTATTTTTGACATTAGTAACAGGAAGGATACAGGCAATGCTGCCCCACGATTCTCTCAGTGCACTGGTGCTAAAACAGGCCCTCAGTAAGTACCAGGTAAGCTAGTGCCGCCTGTAGCTGCTATCAGTGTCCTCTTCTGCAGCTGAGACCCAGTCAAGAACACCTGCATGCACATCTAGCAGGTCACTGCAACAGCCCCAGGGCACCACAGCATTTAAACTCTGCAGCATGGACAAACAGAGCATGAAGTGTTGCTTCATGAGCAACAGTTTGCATTTCTGACATGTCTCCTTAGAAAACACCTGCAGTTCGTCATTTGAGTATGACAGAGTCAGAAGAAAATGGGCTCCCAGCAAAAGCCAGAGACTCTGCATCTAGAAGGCCCTTGGCACAGACACATCCATGCAAGCAGGTAAATGTTCTTGCATAGAGCAAGACACTCATGCTATTTATTCCAGCCACAGTTTTCTAGTCTTGTCCCTGAACAACCAGAAGAGTTCTACACCACTAGAGGATTCAGGAATTCTACCAGGTACCAGCCTTCCTTAGTTTATTTTGCAGCCTAGACCTCATTCCTTTCCTCAAAGACTGACAAAGACCACAGCGAAAAACCCAATCTTCCTTCTTTGCTAGGAACACACATCACTTTGCATACTCACAACAGTGACCATATGCAAATACTTATATTAATCACAAGCATTTCTGGTTAAGCATTACTTTCTTTACAGAGATACATGAAAGAGCTGCTTCCTACCAATTGAAGACTGTGCCAGCAACCCATGTCATTCACCCTAAGGAATCAACTGAAAATCTTCCTTTAGGGATTGCCTGGGTTTTTTAACTCATTCAAATGAAAACACTGTAAAAGCAAGGATTTCTGAGATGACACTCAAAGCTCCAGTCAAGCTCACAGGACACATATCAAGTGCAAAGAATGCTGATCCTGTGTGCTGCATTCAGGAGCACAGGGAATATCCTTTTCAATGATTTTAAACAATCTCTGCTCCACGGATGAAGCAGCTGATGGATCTCTCACAATGATTTTCATGTCTTCTTAGCACTCACAGCTAGGATCTGCTGAAAGAGCTGTGGAAGATTCTCAGTGCAAGAAGTGCTGCCTGGCTGATGTCACACCACAAGGGCTGTACTGAATAACTGCTCACAGCAAACAAAATCACTAGTCAAAATACCATCACTTACGCTAAAGCTATTGATAGTTTGTGCCTAAAATCTCTGCAGCCCTAAGCCAGTAGATGTCAGCAGATACTTCCTAGGGACAGAGGGTCACACGGGAGTACAAGTTTCTACCCCACTCACTTCCTGATTTAGCAGAAACAAGTCTTTATCAACAGCACATTTTTCCTTCCCTCTGTCCACCAGACCCCCAGGGAAGCAGCACAATTTGTAGATTTGTGCACTTTGCCTCAGATCAGGTTGCCACTGCACAATACATGCATCACCCACCCACTGCCACCCGGTCGTGAAGGGAACGCAAACACTTTAGTGAGTTCCCACCTGGAAGAGGGACACTTGGGATGAAAGCAGACCAGCAGGCAGGTGCAGTGCTCTGCACTGCTCAGATGTCTTGAATAGTTTTACCTCTGTGCTGCAGTTTGCACAGCCCTCTTCCCTTGTAATGCTCTGTAACATGAAGTGCAATGGAATTCTCCAAGAGTTTATCATGACCTGTATACCAGCTCACAATCTGTGTGAACTTCCAAGCAGGAAGTTCTGTAGGAACTGTTTCTTCCTAGTGTTTTCTGCAGGAAACCTCCTCACAGCACTCCTATATCACACAAGGAGTGAGAAGAAACTTTCTGAAGTTAGGGGAAAAAAAAGGAAAAAAGAAAAAAGAGAGGAGAGGAGAGGAGAGGAGAGGAGAGGAGAGGAGAGGAGAGGAGAGGAGAGGAGAGGAGAGGAGAGGAGAGGAGAGGAGAGGAGAGGAGAGGAGAGGAGAGGAGAGGAGAGGAGAGGAGAGGAGAGGAGAGGAGAGGAGAGGAGAGGAGAGGAGAAAGAAAAGAAAAGAAAAGAAAAGAAAAGAAAAGAAAAGAAAAGAAAAGAAAAGAAAAGAAAAGAAAAGAAAAGAAAAGAAAAGAAAAGAAAAGAAAAGAAAAGAAAAGAAAAGAAAAGAAAAGAAAAGAAAAAAGAAAAGAGAGAAAAGAAAAGAAAGAAGAGAAGCTTCTGAACATCGAACTTCTGTGTTACAGTATTTTAAGTCTCCCAAGGTTAGCACCACAGCATGCAGGCCTTAGTAAGCCTCCTCGCAGGGTTTCCAAGTAAAACAGCACATGCAGGAGTATTGGCAAGCTTGCAAAACTTCCTGAGGGTATTTGGTGGACAGCTACATTAGCATAAAGAAAAAAATCTTAGGGAAGAATCCCTGGGCTGGCTGTGGCTGGGATGGAGTTTATTTTCCTCATAGCAGCCCTTGTGGTGCTGTGTTTCAGATGTGAGTATTCTGTGAGTGCACAGAAGACTAGAAAGGGAAACAAGCAGGATATGACCCCTACTAATCAAAGAGTAGTACCATATAACATCATGTTCTGCAAACTGGAAGAGGGGTGTTTAGGTGGGTAGCTGCCTTTTGCTCAGGAACTGTATGATGAGTGTCTGCCTTTGCATCACTTTTGTTCTTTTTCTCTTCCCTCCACTTCTTCTCTTATTAAATTTATTTTTATCTCAATCCATGAATTTTCTTGGTTTTAATGTTTCTCTTCCCCTGTCCCACTGGGCAAGGAAGCGGAATAAGCAGGCAGCTGTGTTGTGCTTATCTGCCTACTGGGGTTAACCCACAACATCCCAGCAGAGTTATTAGAGAACTGTGAGTGGGCAGTCATTGTGATCTAACCAGCTACAATGGTGGGGCCAGGGAACAGAATGACCAACAGATATGATCTTTCCCTTACCCTGAGGCATCTATGCTTTGGTCAAAGGTTGTTCTAGCCTGTCAATAAAAACAAATTTCCTGGGACAGCCACACTGATTCCACATACAAGGTCTGAGGATAAAATGCTGCTGCATGTGATCTAACAGTGAAAGTCACTTCCTCCTTACCCCTTGATTTATATACCTGTTTTGTGGATGCTTGGGTGTGACTGATTGACTCTCTCCTTTTCGTACACAACCCACATCCTTGTGCAGTGGCATCAGGCTGACCTTGTCTGTATGGGGTCTACAAAGCACTTGCTGAACTACAGAAAATACAGAAACTTTGTTCTTAGTTAACACAGTCTACAAACCTTGAACTCCACAAGGCGTTGATAAGGCGAGCAAAGTAAGGCTAAAGGCTGAAGATCGGCTTAGTTCTGTGGCACTGCACTAGTACTCACAGATACCACCATGACACTCTAGCCAAAGAAAACCCAGAGGCACGCGTTTCAGAAGCGAGGGGACAACCGGCAAGACATGAAATGAGGAAGGTCTTGTCTCAGCTCCAGTTTCAGCCCCGCTCCGCGGCACAGCGGCCCAGGCCGGCACTCACCGGCGTGCGGCCTGCGGCAGGAGGCAGGCGCGGTGTCCGCGGTGCGCGCCCAGCGCCGGGCACAGCGCGCACACGCAGCACCCGCAGTCCTCGCAGAACAGCTCCAGCGGCCGCCCGGCATGGGCCCTGCACAGCCGCGGCTCCCCCTGCGCCATGCCGGAGGGCGGGGAGGAGAAGGATGCGGAGCCGGCAGCTGAAGGAGAGGCGGATACGGGGCAGGCGGGGGCAGGGAGAGGGCGATGCGTGGGCGGCGTGTGGAGGGTGTGCGCAGCGAGCGGCGGTGCCGCCCTTCGGGCAGGCGAGCTGTGACCGTGGCCGTGGCCGTGAGTGTGGCCGTGACTGTGGCCGTGCCCGTGCCCGTTACTGTGCCCGTGGCCGTGTCTGTGGCCGTGCCCGTGCCCGTGCCCGTGACTGTGGCCGTGGCCGTGCTCGTGCCCGTGGCTGTGGCCGTGGCCGTGCCCATGACTGTGGCCGTGGCCGTGACTGTGGCCGTGGCCGTGGCCGTGACTGTGGCCGTGGCCGTGCCCATGACTGTGGCCGTGGCCGTGACTGTGGCCATGGCCGTGACGGCGGAGGGCGGCCGGGCCCCGCCATGCCTCCTGCCCGGCTCACTCGCCGCCGGAGCGGGGACCCGCAGCCAGTGCCGGCAGGAGCGGAGACCCGCAGCGGGACAGCCGGTGCCCTGGGAGCTGCCTCCGTCCGGAGCCCGGGCTGGAAAACTGACCGATTGTGGAATTTCAGCAGCGTCGGTGTGGGGTAGGCTTCAGTGTTATGGCTGAGCAAAACACTTACCTGATACAAAATGTGGGGGGAAAATTGTCTTCAGGGTATGTTTTGTCAGTTTCTAATTTTCAATTAGAACTTTGTGCTTTGAATGGTCTCATTTACAGAAATCCAAATAGAGCGCTCATGCTCTTACAGAGCTTGCACACTTACCTTCATTGGCTGTTAACTCTACATTCAACCAAATTCATACTAGTTTTTTAACATGCTTTGTTCTTCCTGTGAATAAAAGCAGTAGAGAGTATTCACACACACAACACATGATGTGAAAAAATAGAAAGATATTTTAAAACTGAGCCTTTTGGTGCAACATGTGGGAGTCAGAATACATATTAGTACATAAGAATGTGGAGTACTGAGGAACAAGGGCAGTCTTGCTGAAATTCATGCATCAGGCAGAATTTCATGCCTGCAAAGATGCTGCTAACATAACCAATAATTTAGAAAGTGCCTTTTGTACATAAAAAAGTCAGGTTTTTTTTCTTGGAAAGTGTTTCATACAGACCCCAGGATAGAGTCATGGAATCTTAGGGATCATTATGGATAACTGTAGATTGTTTGCTCTTGTTCTGCACACACAAAGTGCTAATGCCTGCTTTAATAAAATAAGAGTTTCAGGTGCAGTTTCACCTGCTCTGGTGCTTGACCAAACTCAGAAAGAAAGGTTTTCCTACTGTCACTCAACATTTTTCTCATTACAAATGGAGCCATGTTGTTTCACTGTGCCTTTCCAAGGGGAAATCTCTCTTTTAGTCTCATCTTCTCAATCTACGCCCATAGAGGAGCTGTAGACAGTGCTGAATTCTCTGACAGAGGCTGAACAATTCGAGTTCTTTGCCTGTGTGTTTTGAAATGCCAAGCTTCAGTTCCACTACTATGTTTGCAGCTCCTGCAGGAGGGTTTTCCTGATGCAGTCTGTGCCTTGTCCAGAGGAACGTGTGTGTTAAGTAAAGGATCCCATCTGGCCATTCAGGAACACTCTGTCAGTCACAGCACCAGAGACTGTCACTGCTGGGACTGAGGCCCCTTCACAGGGCTCTCTCCAGTGAGCCAAAGGGTCCCTGCCTCACTCCTACACACCCCGCAGTCACACAGTCAGACAAGGCTTCCCTAAGAGTTCAACCCCAGCTTTCCAGCAGCAGCATCTAAGACCTCTGGATCTCTGAAGAGATTTATTTATGGTTTGGTAACAGAGTAACACCTCCAGCTGGTGCCTCAAGTAGGAATCCTGAACAAAGGATTACCTGGATTTTTATACCCTCACAGAAAGTCTGGGCTCTTCCTGCCGAGTCCTTGGCTCCTGCAGTGCCTCAGTATCCAGTCACCTGGCTGGGTCACAGGCCCCTGTGTCCTTTGCCTTTCCAAACGTTGGCAATTCCTGACCTCTTGCCTCAGGCTCCCGGCCAGAGCTCAACCTGCAGCTCCCACTGCAGCAGCACCCCGAGCTACCTTCACAGAACGTTCATCCCTTTTTTTGGATTGAGCATATCTGCTAATATATTAAAAGGGGAAAAGAAAGTTTTCACAGCATTTTACACTGCCCTTACTTACAACATTATTACAAGTAACAGAATTAAGGCTAATATTGTTGGCATAGGGTAGAAATTATTATCAAAACAAGATCATGAAAGATTCTTGAAACTCATTTATTCTCCAACTTGTTAATAATTCACTACCTGTTGGATATGAGGCTGGTGTATCAGTTTTCTTAACACAAAATTTTAACAGCAAAATAAGAACACAGAAAGACAGCATATGGTCCCTCCCATTAGATTCTAATTTGATTTTTTGTGACATTATCTTGTTAAGCACTACATCTGCAGGTTGTGTATCATTTGCTTGTATTGCAAGTGGGGTGGGCTGATACTATTGCGCATACTTTCTCCATTCCTTGAACCCTTTCTGTATTTTATATATAAAATACTGGGTCATGCATTCTTTTCCATCCAGAAGGCTGGTGTTAGCTGGAATACAAGCTCATGACATAGCTGAGTGGCTTCCAAAGAAACTTTCTGCCTGTGCTATGGGTTGTGACAGAACATTCCAAACATTCCACGGCGCTAAATGTAAGGTTTGTGGCCATTTTTGTTGAAAAGGCTTCTGCCCAGCCTGATAGCTGATCTGCTATCACTGGCAAATGCTTATACTCAGCCGTAGGAGTCCACAGAGTCTATTTGTAGTCACTGAAAAGGGAAGTAGGCTCAGTTAGTCATCCTATCTCTGAGCTTGGTCTCATACTTGAGAACTTCTGGTAGGCTGTAGGGAAGCTGTCTGTGATCCTTCTTGCAGTGGTATAAATTCCTGGAGCTACCCATTTTTTCTTCTTTTTTTATTTGGCTAGCTGTTGCCTCTGCCTCTCCACCTACTTTACTGTGAAACCTTCTAACCACACAGATTAAATATCTCTTGGGAAGAGTTGGCTTCCCCTCTGTAGACCACATTCCATCATAATCTTGTGTCGCCTCCCACTTTTCCCACTGTTTCTTTTCTTCTCTTGAGCAGTCCTTCTCATACATGGTCTCCGGGTGTCTCAAATTTCGCCAACTGGAGCCACAACAGCACGTTCTCTATCATAGGTAGAGGCATTAGGCTCACTGGATTCAAGGTGTTACATCTCTTTTATATTATCTGCCATTGTGAAGATCAGCTCATATCTATGTGCCCATTGCGTGTTAGTGCTTGGGCTGCAGACTGTCACATCCCACTGCTCCACATCATGTGGGATATGAACTGTTTCAGGATAAGGGGAGCAACTAATTTCTAATATTTTTGCTGTTGTTGCCACTGACTTAGGCTGGTGCTTCTGCTGCAAATGAAGCTAATTTAACTGAGTAATATGCAACTGGTCTCTGATGGGGTCCTGAATTATGCTTTACCGCTCCATGGGTTATTCCTTTACATTCTTGAGCATAAAGATTGAAGGGTTTTGTATAATCTAGGACCCCAGGACCAGAGGCAGACACCAGAGCTCCTTTTATTGCTGTGTAAACTTATTCTTTCTCCAGGGCTGATGCAATAGACTTTATGTCTTTGTTCTCGCAGGAATCTATGGCAAACAAAATCCCACAGGTCTGAGCAAACCTGATACATGATTTTTTGACTGGATATGGGAGCCTAATTATAGCCTCTATTCTTTTTTGACCTGTCGTTCATCATCCCTTTCCAAAGTAAAGTGTAAATATTTAACTTCTTCTCTGGCATAGCTGAAGTTTGGATGGAGATGCAGGCTGTTCCCTCTTTTGGCAGTACATAAATATATACTGTCTAATATATAAACACTCTTGTCACAATTAGGCAATGACACATCATCTACATATTGTAAAAGAACCAATATGCCCAGTAACTTTATAACTTTATTGCAGTGCGTTAAGTCCCAAAATTCTCTGCAGATTCAATGGGTCTAACCTTCTGTATCCTGAAGACCATAACAGAACTTTCAAGCATTTTCATGTTTACAAGGTTTGTTTGGTTGTTTTTAATAAACACCATTACAAGCAAGTACTAGTCCAGAGGAAATCTCATATATGTACAAAAAATAATGCAGTGCCCAAAAAAATGGCTGTGGGCAGTGAGAGTTCACTGGGTGCTGTCAGAGCTCTCCTCAGAGCTCCTGATCAGTTGTGCCACTGCACTGGGTGCCCCAGGACAGGCATCTCCACCAGTCGATGCAGGGATCTGAACCCAGCACCTGACTGATGGGTGGAGGGCAGGGCAGTCATTGCTCATTCATTCAGAATGGTGCTTGCCTGTCACTCCAGAGGGTTTCAGCCTCAGGTCTCTGGTTACAAGTAATTTAATCCTGGTGTAGCAAGAGAGTAAGGGTTTGAGCTGGTGCCCCAAGGAGAAACCCTGAACAAAGGATTACCTGGGCTTTTATACCCTCACAGTTTGTATGCCAGAAAGTCTGGGGTCTTCCAGCTGAGTCTTTGGCTCCTGCTGTGTCTCACTGTCCAGTCCCCAGGCTGGTGCCACAGGTCCCTGTGCCCTTTGCTGTGCCAAGGGTTGGCAGTTCCTGGTCTCCTGCCTCAGGCTCCCATCCAGAGCTCAGCCTGCAGCTCTCATTGCAACTGCACCCTGAGCTACCTGCACTGAATATGCTCCTCAACACATGGCTGGTCTTCATCACCACAAAACCACACAATGGTGATGGAAGATATTCAGCTCAGGACTCTGGCTCCTTTTCTGGCAAAGTTAATCCCCAGTCTTAATTGTTGCAGAGTCACTCCATGGGTTGGATAAGCCCAGACATATCTTGATTGTTGTGAAGGTCATGCTTGTGCTTTCTGCAGCACCTCACAGTCCCTCAGAAGACTGGCTCTGCCTGCCACTTAATCTTTCCTCATCCTCTGTTTCATACCCTCCTTGTTTGTAA